TTTTAACTAGTCATACTGTGAAGAAAAAAATATATGATGTGTTAAGATATATTTTAACTACACATTTTGAAATCTAATTGGGTTGAAAGAACAAAGGAATCATCGTTAAACCTTCCAACAGAACTGTAAAATTTTCCTATATTAGTGTAGGAATTTTTCAATGGAATATGGTTAACTAGTTTTGTGGATAATCATGCAGTCCAAATTTGACAAGTTAATGTAATGTAGTTATATTAGACTTGTCAATTTGATCTATATATGTTTCAAACATGTGTGACTTCAGCTGTCATTCATCTCTAGCAATTAATGTTAATACCAGTGTGTGCTTCAATAAATTGGTCAGTCTGCCAAAAACCTGCTTTGCTGAATTTTATACTTTTCTTTATGGAAAATTTATTTTGCAAGGGCAAAAGATCACAATCATTTGCACGAACCCATTTGCTCACATTTAATGATGACTGAAACTTAAAAAAAAAAAAAAGAAAAAAGANAAAAAAAAGAAAAAAGAAAAATTGAATCCAGCAAACCAATTATTTTTATTTAACCTAACGTCATAAATTTTCCTGTCTCAGGTGTCGAATTGGTTCATAAATGCCAGGGTTCGCCTATGGAAGCCTATGGTAGAGGAAATGTACCAGCAAGAGTTCTCAGATGAGAAGGTACAACCATCACAAGCGTCGGGGACCAGTGAGCCAAATTCTGACGATAACTATCCCCAGGCCACGTCAGCGGGAAAAAAGGACCCGCCGGAAAACTCCAACGTGGCCAATAGTAGTAGTTACAGGCGGGGAAAACAATTAATGGAGCCGCCGTCCGGCGACCTAACGCCGGCGGAGTACCGGCGCTTGGCGGCAGGATTGGGATCGGGGTTTGGTTTGGTCGGTGGAGAGGGGACCCATGAGGTGTCACTTACCCTGGGACTTAGGCGCTCGGGAAATGTGTCTAAAATGAGTCAACTCTCCATTAGAGACTTCCAACCTTATTAAATAATCAAATAATTCGAATTCCTAATGTTAAGGGAAACTATTGGGAAGATTAACTATGAATTTAGTGTTGTGTGGTATGTTACTGTTTTGAACATAATAAACGTGTAACCTGTATCAGTGTATATATGTATATAAGAGAAGTGAATATTTTTAATTTTTATTTTGTAATTTTAA